TTAATTGTTCTTTCCGCTATTGTTTTACAAAATTCTAAAAATTTTTCCCTGGTTTCTTTATTCTCCATTATTTTATTTATGTTTTCTGGTTTTATTTTAATATTTATTTCGTGTTCTACCTCATGTCTTTGTCTACTGTATATCGGACAATCAACTATCAAATGTAAGACGTCTTGTTCGGTTCCCGACTCACATGAGCACGACGGGTCCTCCTTGCACTTAAAACGATGCAAGTATTTGGAGAACCCGCCGTGTCCCGTAAACACCTGCACTATTATTGGCTCCATCTCGATTTTCCTCACAATTGTGTACGCCTTTATTGCATTGGGGAAAAAGATCTTTGTTGTAGAGGCTGTCGTGCCTTCCGTATATCTCCGGTTCCATTCGTCAAGCGAGTCCTTTCGGATTTGTCGCTTGACGAATGAAACCGGACATTTGTCGTAATCAGCCTTCCTTTTGGTTTTTAACGCAGCCTCTTTTGCCAACTCATCAGCCCTTTCATTTCCGACCGTTCCGATATGCGCTCTAATCCAATATAATTTTATTCTTCTGCCTTTTTCCCTAATCTCTTTTATATTGTTCCTTACCTGTACTGCCAGAGGGTGATTCGTATTAGGATTTATGACCATCTGTAGGGCCGATCGGGAGTCCGACAGGATGTTGTGGCAACATTCTGGGGACCTTCGTGCGCATTTCACCGCTTCGTCTAGAGCCAGTAGTTCCGCCTGAAAAACGGTGCAATAGTTTTCCAGTTTCAGCTTTCGGGTTTTGGTTTCCGCATCACCGTGCCATACGGACAGTGCGGCTCCTACCTTACCCTCCAGCTTACTCCCATCCGTGAAAATGTTGACACCATTTTCTGACGGCATTGCACCGTCTTCCAGGCAGTCGAACTCTAGCTCCGTCCCGTTCGCTGGATGCGCCATGTCTCTCCAGGACGTTCTCTTTTCTATTTCTCGATCCCCTACCACCCGCCGGGACACACCTCTTTTGACCTCGTACAGGGCGGCTGCTTCCTGGACTCTGAGGTCCAACGGT